AAGAGAGAAAATCCCCTCTTTTTTTTTTGTAAATAATCAGGTGCGAGAAGGAACACCAATATCGTCCGCAGAGAAAGGATGAATAAAAGCACTGTTCATCTGCCAGACTCTAAACGAGGCCGTAACGGTCGCATCAATGGCGTTATTAAACAAGAAGAGTTTTGTAGCTCCATAAATGGCTTTTGTCGGATATACTCTTGAAGTAATACATGTTCTTCCACCTTGTCCGAATGCTTCTACTATCGAATGATCCACCTATACAAAAAAAAAAATCGAAATTAATAATAACACAACTAAATCAAATTCTTGAATTTGTAATGAACTTAATGTATGAATTAGTTTATGGTTCTAAGGATATAATATATTACAATGATTCTCATGGTCAATTTCTCTCCTTTTAGGACCGGAACAAAGCTTCCGTATATCGGTTTCACCACATCGTTTGCCTTTGTCGACCTATTAAAAGAGATTTTGATTAAGCAAAATTAATATTTTTCCTATAGCCGAAATCTATGGTTAATAAAAATGCAATTTATAGATTGATTAATATGTTGAAGAGTTACATACCTTGAAGTGTCAGTGCAGAAGAAAGTTGTGAGTTTTGAATCTTTTCCTTTAGTCACATAGAAGTAAACCGGAGTTTGTTCCGACAAGCTTTGGTCAGCAAGAACCGAGAATCCGAATGGACCTAATGCACCACGCACTGTCGAGCCACCACTGGTTTCGCAGCTGAGTTTCTTATCGGCGTCCACGGAGTCATCTCCAAAGATTATTTCGAGATCTTCCTTCTTGATAGTGAACTCAGCTTCTATGTCCAGCTGAGCTGCGGGATCGACATCAACCGGTACCACAGTCCCTGGCTCAATCTTCATATGGAATTTCTTGCTTTTTAATCTCAGAGATTCAATTTCCTTAATAGGCCACTGGACTAAGTTCTTCCCTGTCTTTGTGTCCAAGATAATAGTTCTTGGGATGCCCTGATAATGATTAAAACAGATTTAATACCTAACTTGGACAACAAGTAACTATCATATCAAAATCCCTAACTTTATACCACATTAGATTAAGAAACCATACCTGAACAGAAGACCAGCCCTTTTGTACATCAGCTGCTTCACTGTCAGATTCACCGATCCAACCCCATAAGATTCTCCGTTTCTTATGCTGATCGTAAAACGTCTTTGACGCATAAAATTTACCGTAATCATATCTCAGACCGGTACTGACTCCAACATCAATAGCAAGATTATCTGGGACCCATGTTGCGTTAGAATCGTCATACGTTCCAATAGCATAATGATCGATCCTAGTATCGTCCATGCTAGCCTTGATTATATGTTTTACATCTGGTCCATTGACCGAAGTGTCGAGCCCGTTAGTTTTAGTCTTCGATACCGGATAAAAGTCGACACACTCCCACATTCCAGTGTTGGGGACTTGGTGTAACAAGGTCTCGTGTTTCTCGTAGGTTTTGAAATCGGTAGTATCGTAAACTAGAGATATTCCGGTTTTATTGACCTTGGAACCGATGGTGATCCGCCATTTTCCAGCTGATGTCTTCCATGCTGTTGTTGGGTCACGGAAGTCCTTTGCACCGATACCCGGAGGCGGTACGAGAACCGGGTTGCCGGAGTACTTGGCCCATTTCAACAAAAGTGGGTCGCTAAGGTCCTCAGGATAGGCAAGGTTTTGAACCTAAAAACATAGCAAATACTAATGTTACCAATTGGTCCAACCAAATTTATATTGAAAGCATTTCAGAAATCGACCCAAAAAATAGTTAGCTTAACTGGGTTAATCAACTCTTTTAGTACTACGAGACATGAATTCGAGTACAATACTATACACTAGTGAAATAATTATTTATGTTTTTCAAATTCATCACAAATATTATCAAAATTGATATCAAATATCTAATACACAACCAAAAGGATAGTAAAAACCTTTACCTGTACGAATTTGTCTGTGGAACCGGTGTAGAGCATGACAATGGAGCCATCATCAAGAAATGTGGCTGAACCGGTCCAGACTCCGTTAGCATCATACCACTGGTCAGGAACCATGGCAAATGGGAGGTAAAGCCAGTGGATAAGATCCTTTGACACGGCGTGACCCCAAACAATGTCACCCCACACGGCTGCATTTGGGTTGTATTGATAGAAGAAATGGTACCATCCCTTATAGAACAATGGACCTGGATACATGTATAACATTTCATTTCTTAGGGTCAAAATTAAAGTTTTGTAAATGTAATGATTTTTTTCAGTTATTACTGAAATTATAGAAACCAAACTAGGACAAAATCTATCATGAATGTATGGCAAAATCCCCCAAACTAGTCCAATTTAAGACAAGATCTAAACTTTTCATTCATTATAAGATCTATAAATTCAATAGATGTATATAAAAGTCTAATTGTGTAGAAAAGGATAATTCTATATTTAAAAAGTTATAAAGATTAAAAATGTTTTACAAATAAAATAATTACAAATTGAATATAACAACATCTAGAAAGTATTATTGTTCTTGAAAATTACTACTAATTTATATCTTTCGAATGGAGACGGCTCCTCCACCTAATTTATGTAGTTCCAAACTCTTTTACCCGGTGACATTGGTTAGATAAAACTTTTTTTAAAAACTATATAAATCACCACTTTAAAGTACGACGTTTCAAATACAATTGGGTTAGTAGAATGAGTCAGATCGGATAAAAATATAGACTGCAAACAATAATGGGCAATCAATGATTTGTACAATATGCACATGAGTCACGTGGTGTAAAC